GTCCCCTCCTGCAGGACCCAGCCACCCCTCCTGCAGCCGGTCCCGCTGCCACAGGACACCGAGCACTTGCACCGGACAGAGCCACGAGCGCTCTGACCCCACCTGGGGCACCGACACTCGGGCAGAGTCACGCTGCCCCAGCCCCAGTGCCTGCTGCAGGACCAGTACTGCCCGTTTGCAGAGTGGAGAACCTTCCCTTCAGTTGGAAAACCATCCCACACAGCCCGCAGGGACCAGCCGGGCGCCAAGGAACAGCTACGGGCACTTTAACCTCTTTTATTTTTTCCCAGCTGGGCAGGTTGCAAGCAGGCAGCGTCTCTGGCTTCCTCCCAGTACATCCTGATCTTGCTTAAGCCCCCCCCGCTGGCTAATTCCTGCACAGGGACAGGCAAATACTGGGCTTAAAGAGGCCAGCATCTCCCAAAGGCACCAGGGAAGGGTCCCCAAGCAAACGGCCGTGGCACGGGCACCGACCGCACCGGCAGCAGGGGTTTACCGCGGATGCTCAGCTGCTGAGGACAGGATGAACCCACCTGGGACACGGGCGATGGGCTGCAGCCTCTCACACCGCCTTATTTTAAAGGCAGCCCAGCTGAGCAACACCACTGCCCAGCTCTGGGATGAAGGAATGAACAATAAATGCGTCTTTTTTTTTCCCCCCAAAGCTGGATGTTCAGCTCCCGCTGCAGCTCTGCACAGTAACGGGAAGCAAACAGGGTCACTCTTGATCAAAAACTTGCTGGTGGATGAAAAGCTGCCAGGAATGGCTCTTTCTGCCTTGGAGCATCACAGAAATAAAACCTGCAGCTGCGTTTTCCTTCTGAGGGCTGGCCAAACGAGGAGCTCGCTCTGGCTCTGCCAGCCCACTGCAGCCATTTTTCTGCAGCTGCGTCCCCGCAGGATGCTCCCCTGGATGGGGTGAAGTGGGGCAGCGGGAGCCTGCAGGGTCTGCTCGGGAATGGGGAGAGGAAAGGGCTGCTGCAGAAGGGGAAAGGGGAAGTAAAAAATAAATTAAAAATTACAAATATTGTGGCCGCGGGCTGCGAGATAACCTTGCCAGGGCTGGGTGCTGTTCAGACAGCGGGCAGAGCAGTGCAGGGGGCATGGGGGGGGTGTTTTCTCACCGTGACCATTTTTAAGATTTTAGAGGTGTTCTGTTTGACATGGGGGTCCAACCAAGACCCTCCCATGTTGTCTGGAAATAAAGAAGCTATCAAAAGAGAATGGGTGAGACGGGTCTCCCTTCTCTCGCTGGTCACATCACAACCAGCCGGAGCATCTAACAACCCTAAATGCAAAACCCATTTCAAAAGGGAGGAAAAAACCCAGGAAACTCAACGCTTAAGAACTTGGTGGGGTGGGGTGGGGTTTGGGGTTTTTTTTGTGGCTTTGTTTTAAATCAAAAGCTCTTTATCCTACCTGGTCCCATAACGCTGCGGCCACTTGGTCTATGACTGCGCCCAGTTCTCTGTACTCCCCAGAGTATCTGATATAAGCCCAGGTGCACAGCGTGATCAGGGTCAGGCCCATGATCATGTTGCACAGGCTGGCTATGATGTCCAAGCCAATGAAGCCGGTCACTCCAGCTATCACGTAAGTGATGAAGATAACCACAAAGAGCGTGGCGGGGGTACGGGCGGCGTGGAAGATGTTCTTGCTGTCGTTGTGCTTGATGTACTGGATGTAGAGCTCATCTATCTCAGTCTCCAGTTGCTGGAGGTAGCGACGGCTGAATTCCTCCCCACCCATCTTCTTCACCCCGCGGAACAGCTTCACAGCCTCCTCCTTCAGCTCCACGTGTTTGCTCTGGAGGTCACTGGGTGCAAGGAAGGGTTTGTCTCCACCACAGACCTGCGCAGAAAACAGTGTCCCATCACTCCAGAAACCTCGGCACGCGCTGCTCTGCCGTGCAAAGCACTGGAATCAGGGCTCGGCAGGCTCCTGTTTGGCACAGATCGCTAGATCCTGCAGGAAAACCTCCACAACTGTGCTGTCCACCTGGGACAGCTCTGCAAGGTGCAGGGTAAAACTGGGCAGTGGGTGTCTGAACTGGGAACCTGCATCCCACAGCTCCCCTACAAAATTCGCCAGGATCTTGGGCAACACGGATGGCTGAGCTACACTGACTGGCAGGACCCTGAACCCCAGCACTTTCCAGTGCTGGAAACTCCGCAGCATTTTCCTTCTGCCTCAGAGTATGGACACATTAGTTTTAAAGCCCAGAGCAGTCCACAGGCAGTTTGGCCACACAGCTCCACCTCCCGTTGCTGCCAACAGGCAGCGATCTCCCATCCTGGTGAACAGAGCGGGAGCCTGGAAGTGGCTGGAGACAGGCTTGGGGTCTGAGCTTCACTTTAAAACATCACAACCATAGAACCACACGATGGTTTGGGTTGGAAGGGACCTTAAAGCCCATCCAGTGCCACCCCCTGCCATGGGCAGGGACACCTCCCACCAGCCCAGGTTGCCCAAAGCCTCATCCAGCCTGGCCTTGAACCCCTCCAGGGATGGGGCATCCACAGCTCCTCTGGGCAACCTGGGCCACTGCCTCACCCCCCGCACAGGAAAACATTTCTTCCTCACATCTCATCTCAATCTCCCCTCTTTCAGCTTCAAACCGTTTCCCCTCGTCCTGTACCTGCACCCCCTGATCCAGGGTGCCTCCCCCAGAGCTGAGAGCTGGGCTGTCAGGGCAGGACGCAGGTGCCAAGCCAGTTGTAACGACTCTGTCCCCTAACTAGCACCAGCCACAGCACAGGTCACACGGTCACGCAGCGCTGCCACCCCACTAAATCCCATTTTTGGGTTGCATTCACCCACGCTGGGGAACTCTGGGAAGAGGGTTCAAATTCAGCAGGGTGTGCTCTGGAAAAAGCTGCCACCAGATCAAACGGTGACCATTTGTCTGTCACCCTCCCGGTCCTGCCGTGATACCCGGATGGGGCATCGCTCTCCTCCAGCCTGCGACAAAGCCACTTTTCCACCACGAACACAGGACAGACCCTCCTTGGGACCCCGAACACGCAGCACCATAAGCAGACCTGGCCAAGTCCATGCAGGATGTTTTCTACCAGGTTTCCCCATGAGGACAGAAGAGCCAGGAGACACGAGCACTGTGAAACGAGGTGCTAAGCACCACCTACCTCTTCCATCCTCCTGCTGTAGGTGTCTTTGGCAGTGGCAACTGCTGCTAAGTTGTTGGCTTCTGCTGTGGCCTGCAAGAAAGGCAAGAGGGGTACAAAGTTTAGCTGCACAGAGTTAAGAAGTGTAATCGCAGAGAGGATCAGCCACTGGCCGCCTGGATACCCACGGCCAGGACATGGACGGTATTCTGGCGCAGGCATCCAGAATTAAACAGCTCCCGTGTTTTAGCCAAGCGGACTCTCCCCAGCTCTGACCAACACCAAATAAGATCATCCCCTATTTACACATCCAGTCTCCTCAATCCCTCCAGGCAAAAGCCTGCATGAAGAGAAGGATTCCTGCCCTCCAAGCCAAAGCAACGAAAACTTTGGCTTCGGCTGTGGGAAACCAGCAAGAAAACAGATAAAAGGCTCAGTCATATGTAAACAGCTACAGCTGCAACCTCCCGCAAAGCCATCTGGCTCAGCAGCCCAGCAGCCGCTGCGCACGTGTGGGGCTGTGTCACCTCCGTGTGCGGCCCCACCGCAGCCAAAGGCGACGTTATTTACCTGCGGGGGAATACTTCAGCTAAGCTGGCTGATGTTGTGTGTCACCACAGCCCGGCCGAGGCACACAAGCCGTGCTGTCGCAATTGCTGGGCCACATCGGACTTGTGGCTGCCAAATAATTCCAAGAGGGCTGTTTCTTGGGTTGTTACAATAAGGCATTTGAAATAAAATCCCAGAATTGCTGTGCTAGCTGGATACTTCTGACAACTACCTGGAAATCAGTGGTAATGCCAGTGCAGGAGCGCCTGCCAGCTGACAGCTCACATTCACGTACCTGCAGCATGGACTTGGGGTGTGGCAGTTCTTCCCCTTGGTAGATCTTTATGTATGCCTGCAAAAAACAACGCACGGAAAATGCAATCACATTGACTGCAGCATACACGAGCAATACGCAAACACCCCCACCCAGTTACAGACACGGCTTCAACAGGATGGTGAAAGCACAGAAAAGGAGGACGCTCCTGGCACAAGACGGCCTCGGCAGGGGATGCTCTGTCGGAAAACGCTACGTAACGTGGCTCGAGGTCGACTCCCTGGGTGGCCTGGGTCGGTCGCTCAAGGCTCTTGCTCCACCACTTACACTACCATCAGATTTGCACCTACCTCCGTCCTTCGGTGAAGGAGAAGGAGCCAGAGTTAGGTAGCCCTGGAGAGTAGGTGGTGAGGCTACGTCCCAGTAGTCATGACAACAAAAATAAGCTTTTTCCAAAGGCAATGGGAATACAGCCCTCAGTCTACCTCCCTCTGGTCCTCAGCTCTCTGGGGAGGGGGGGAAACCAGCCCTGCCCATTCTTGGGCTCACTGTGTGGCCAAATATGTGACAGCAAGGTGTTTACTTTCTGCAGCGATGGGAGGCAGGACTATCAGCTAGACCACGAACATTTCCTCCAGCCATCGAGTGCTGGCCTGCCTGCTGCTGCTTTCCCCTTTAACTGCAGCCAAAGCTCAGGCATGCCATGGATTAACAAACCCCATTTCTCTTAAGTAAGGCAATACCTTAAAATACTCCACAAGGCCTCGACAGGTGATATGGTTTCCATTGATCTCCTTCACATCCAGGCTCTCAGGACTAAGAAGCCACGGAATCAAAATCTTCAAGTTCTTGATGAACTCATCGTCTATTTCTGGAAACAAAACCCAAGGTCATCAGTACCAGTCCTCTGGCAGACTTGGGCTTCAGTGTCCACTTGCACGAAACAAGAGTCAAGCCAGAGACTCTGACACCCTATAATTTGGTGATGTGAGCACTCAGGAACAATCACGGCCCGAGTTAAGTTGTTCACCCACGGACAGAATATACAGCTGTGCATGCATCCACAAAGCAGCTTCACGGTCTCAATGTACACTCTCCGTGTACGCTGCACCATCAGGTGTCCGTGGTGCAGGTACCAGGAACGGACACGATCTCTGCTCCTACCAGCCCGTCCCCACTGCCAAAGCAGAGAGCTGTGGGCTGCTCGTGTCACTTCAACAGAGGCAGACTCATTTCCTAACAGCCATTCTTATGGCTTCATAGTGTCTGCTGTCCATTTTCTGCCATTTACATTAGAGCGCACAAGGCTGGAGACAGAAAAAACAATGCAACGTCCAGGTGTTTGGGAGGTAAGGGGAGAGGGGAAGTCTCCCCACATTTCTTCCATCTGAGAACAAAAAGGGAACAAGAAAAATGGTGTCAAGAAGCTGCTGCCAACTCCGGTGCCAGTTCTGCAGGAATCACTCGCTCAGTATACTCAGCACCTGAAATGAAGGGGGAACTAGCAGAGATCAGCGCAGTTTCCAGCAGTGTATCTCCCCCCCATTGGCTCGCTGTCCTGCTCGCTGGTTGGCACAGAGTTTGCCAGAACAAGTCTGATCACTAGCCAGGCAAAAACAGAGAAAAAGTAACTTCTTTCTGCCTGCTAATTTATTTTAAGTGACTAATGGAACAGTTTATTGCTAAGATTGCAAGCAGCCTGGAACCAGCGATGCTGGCAAGCAGGTGGTCCACAAAAAACAACTAAAAAAATCTGCAGAGTGTGGCTTCTTTCAGGGTGGAGAACCTTATCACGGCTTTTTTTACGTTTCCCTTTTTTTTTTTTTAACCTCTCAAACAAAGTCTGCCCTTTAGGGA